AAAGTCAGTAGATTGAAATTGTTGGATAGTGTTAAAAGAATGTGGAAAGAAACTGTTAACAAAAACACCTGCTGACCCCTCAAACATCAGATAGAGCTCTAATCTCTAGAGTATACAAAGAACTCAAAAAGCTAAACAACAAAAAAGCAAATAACCCAATCAACAAATGGGCCAAGGACTTGAACAGAAACTTCTCAGAAGAGGATATACAATCAATCAACAAATACATGAAAAAATGCTCACCATCTCTAGCAATCAGAGAAATGCAAATTAAAACTACTCTAAGATACCATCTCACTCCAATAAGAATGGTAGCCATTATGAAGTCAAACAACAATAAGTGCTGGCGAGGATGCGGGAAAAAGGTACACTCATACATTGCTGGTGGGATTGCAAATCGGTGCAGCCAATTTGGAAAGCAGTACGGAGATTCCTTGGAAAGCTGGGAATGGAACCACCATCTGACCCAGCTATTCCCCTTCTTGGACTATACCCAAAAGACCTAAAAAGAGCATACTACAGGGACACAGCCACATCCATGTTTATAGCAGCACAATTCACAATAGCTAGAATGTGGAACCAACCTTGATGCCCTTCAATAGATGAATGGATTTTAAAAATGTGGCATTTATACACAATGGAATATTACTCAGCACTAAAAAATAATAAAATCATGGCATTTGCAGGCAAATGGATGGCATTAGAGCAGATTATGCTAAGTGAAGTTAGCCAATCCCTAAAAAACAAATGCCGAATGTCTTCTCTGATATAAGGTGGGTGACTCAAAATGGGATAGGGAGGAAGAGCATGAGAAGAAGACTACCTCTAAATAGGAAAGAGAGGTGGGAGGGAAAAAAAGGGAGAAGGGGAGTTGCACGGAAGATGGAAGGAGAACCTCATTGTTATACAGAATACATATATGATGTTGTAATGAGAAAAAGAAAAAAAGTGTGTCACATTAGATTGGATAGAGAGAAAGGAGGGGAGAGGAGGGGAGGAGTAGGGAGGATAGGAAGGGCAGCAGAATAGAATAGACAATATGACTGATGTATGTACATTCCATATATATTATATGTCAAAATACATTCTGCTGTCATGTATGACTAAAAAAAAAAAAAAAAAAAAAAAAAAAACACCTGCTGAAAAGAGAAAAGAACTGTCCCAGAGTAGCAAAGCAAATGTTCTTTAGGAGCAACCATCCCCTGTGCTGAGTGGATGTTAGAAGCAGAATAGGTAGAGTCCCGCTCAGCAAAAAGCAAAACACTGACACTCTTTTCTATAAGCTAGGCAGGCCACGTATGGCATGCCTCACATGTATGGCTTTATTTAATAACCCTTAAGAGGGTGTCCTCTCTTGCTTATGGTGTTGTCTGTAAAATCCTAGCAGTCAGATTGACCCTTCCACACTCAGAAGAGGGAAAAGTGAATGTGGACTGACTCCATAGGACTAGTATACCGGAGGCAAAGCTGAAAGTCCTCACAAGTCTCTGAGAATGTGAGCAGCAAAGGTGAAACAAGAAAGACAGCACCACATTTCCGTGTTTGGAATAAATGAATTTTTAATAACCAGTTTCTTGGTTACACCCTCACTGATACCAATTTTAACAGTCCACACAGTTAAATAAAAATGTACATTTTAAAACATATTTCCAAAACAGTAATTTTTTTTTTTGTACCAAAAGGGGGAAAAAAAAAAAAAAAAGCCTGGTTACCACTATCACGGTGTATTGTCCATGAATTGAAAGACTTTCCTATTTCAGCAGCAGGTACATGTGTAATTGGGCAGGTAGCAACAGAACAGCAATCCTGACACCCCTTTCTTCATGGTAAATGTCTTTGGGTTGAATCGTAACAATAAAGTAATGAAGCTGGATACCATAAAGCAAAAATGGATACTGATCTCATTATTTTATAGTCGTCCCTTGTGATATATTTATAAAATATTTCTTTCACATGTACAAACAATTTACTACAGATGGGCTTAATTTTGATAGAATCAACTGAAAAAGGTTCTATGTTAATGCAACATTCATTGTAAAGATTCCAGAAACACATGAGTCAAAGTTTCAAATGATAATTCCCACAGTAACTGTAACTCTGCTATACAACATACATAATGGAAGAAAAGTTATCAACATATACCATAGTAGAAAATACTCAGTAAGCAGAAGCAAACTGAGTTATGCTTGCTATGGGAGTCATCACTTTCAACTAGCTGAGAAAATATAAAAATTGAAACCATAAATGCATGCATTATATTTGTATTTAATTCCAATTTTTTGATCCAATTTAATCAGCTTTGCATTCAAACTACACTTTCCTTTCATAAGCTGCATATAAATATCTTTTGTAATTTTAAAATTCACATCATTTGGTTTCTTTTTTTCACACAGGCTGCCTTTGCAGGATGGCATCATTATACCCTGGCCCTCCCTGAAATGTCAGGACATGTCTGCTGGGATCTATTTATCTATATTTCTTTTTTCCCTGAAGGACATGGTGGGGGAGGAGAAAGAGAATAGCAAGGAGAACAAGAATCACATTGAATAGCTTTAAAAGATAAACAAGTAGAACAGAACAGGGGGGCACTGTCACCATTAACTCCCGCCTTAATATCTTCCTAAGCAGAAATAAGAATACCACCACATATTTACAATTTTCCAAAATCTTTAGTCATAACATCATCTCATTTGATCATCACCACAACAACAATATGAGAAAAGGGGGGAAAAAAAAACAAAACACTTCTTTGTTGTTCAGCTCTTTGTGGCTCAAGGAGAATACATATAAGGATGTGCTTTTATATTATCATTTAAACTCTAAGCCATTTAATTGCACTTAAAATATTTCCTAAGTATACTCACTTACATATGCACAGGATTTGCTTATTATTAAAAGCAGAATATACTTTATGTAAAAATATTATGGTTATGAGCTAAACTTAAACATATTTTAAGCTTTTTCCTTTAACTATATTCTGAAAATTCAATAGTGAAAGAGAAAAATTTAATTGCCCTTTGAAACTCTGTCTAGGCAAAATTAATCCTGTATATTATATCCAGCATTACTTTTCCCAGTTTGGTTTTAACTAAGAAGGGCACCTTCTATAGCCTCTGAAGAGGAATCTTTTTACTTTCCAGCAGCCTTTACCATTAGGGTATGTTTCATTATATTCAGGCTAAATTACTTTGGCTCAAGAACAATCATAATTCCTTTACCACTCTAACTAGCTCCACCCCACCATGATGCCTATGACCTTGTGTGTGTGTCTGGAGGGTGATATGCTCAAACTTTGTCTTGCACCACTAAGATGAGGTTATTCAGATTTAAGTTTGTTTTTCTTCCTTTCTAGGTACAAAAAGATCCTTTTTTATATAAATTAGATGTATTTTTTCTTCTTCATTTATATAATGTACCAATAAAAAGATCAATTAAAATAAACTCAGCCAGCAAAAACCTCAAAATTATTTGTCCTAACTATCCTTTGCCTGTGAAAATATAACAATCCTGCATGTAACTAAAGTACAATATTTAACTGTTAAAAGGTAAACGAATTCTTAGGAATATTAAGAGGTTTTATTATGAAAGAAGTTTGTCTTCTTGATCTTACTTGTAACTATAAAACTCATCTTTGCAATGAAAAAAGATTAACACATAAATTCTTGAACAAAAACAGATAAAACACATAAAAGTTTCCCTGGGACATGAATACCGAATTTTCAGTCATTCCCTTCCATCCCATATGCAAAAGTTTGAAAAGAAAAATCAGTGTCTGGCATTAATCACAAAGCACAATCTCAATACTATTTCCAGTCATAAAGAAAAACGTGAAGATGACTGGTAGGCTTAAAAATCAGTGATACAGACAAGAGCTCTTGCATCTTATCAAAGGCCAGGAGAGAGGTGATATAGCTGTCAGATAAGAAGGACCACAGTGTGTATGTTTCCATGAAAGTCATCTACTTTATGGTACTGTCCTGAGGGAAAGGGTAGATCTAGCCAGTGGGCAAGACTTAGCTTAACCCAAATGAAATAAAGTCCTTGTTGACCTTCTCTTTCAAGGAGAAACTTGAAGAGGAGGTGATCAAGTCTAGAGAATCACAATATGCTTAGAAATGAAAAACAATAATGTATATTTATTTGGGAAGTCAGTATGTGATTTACAAAGGTTGAAAATTTCTCAGATCAACTACTGACAGCAAAAAAGTCCTTAAGATTGTCAGTATTATAGATAAAGGAGCTGATTTTTCTTTTTATTTATAATTAAACCTGAAGAATTTCTGGAGTAACTGATGGCAAAATAATAATACAGGGTGCCGGTGGGGCGGAGGGGGTTATGAAAGATGGTGGAATGAGATGGACATCATTATCCTTGGTACAGTATGACTGCACATATGGTGTGACGCTACATTGTGTACAACCAGACAAATTCAAAGTTGTGCTGCAATTGTGTACAATGAATCAAAATGCATTCTGCTGTCATATATACCTAATTAAAATAAATAAATTAATAAAAAAATAATAATACATTTAAGAATAAACCAAAGGAAAGCTCTGGAAACTACCTAAGGTAAGTGGTCCAATAACAGAAGACTGTTAAATAAATTGTTATAAACTCATACAAGGGATATTATGCAGTCATTCACAATGTATTCTTGAAGAATATCCAAGGAAAATGAAAAGGTAGATAATATACTATAAAATGAAAAGTTATAAAATGGAATATTTTATATGAACTCTACTTTGGGAAAGATATATGCATAATTGGTAGAACATACACAAAATTATTAACAGAAGTTACATCATTTACTGAGAATTTAATGTCTCACAATTTTTTCTTTTCCAAAAGAAAAGAGGGTAAGATTAGAGGAAACTATTATTTTCAAAAAGAATCAATCTACTCTGATCTGTTTGTCCCATTTGTTTCTATGATACACAAAATGAAAAAAATGAAATGTATTTATGGCCAATAAGCAATTGCATTACAAATATTTTTTAAGTTATGAAGTCAATAGTTCATTTACATTTAGTTTTCTTATACTTTTTTCCAATTTACACAAGAGTAATGTATTTTAAAAAACACATAATAACAAATTCGTATCCAAGGTTGAAATTTTCAATATATTCTTCTTCATATGTCCTTCAGTTTAAAAAATGAATTTCATATGCTTGATTCCATAAGTTTTGAAGAAAACCATGATAATGAGTGCCCATAATCCCAGAATAAAACCCCCAGGAGGATGCCAGTCTTTCAGCTTCGGTTTCTGCAAAAGAAGGATAACATTGTCAATTTAACAACAGGCAAATAATTCATCAATGGATAAAGCTAATACTAATGGAAAAGAGAAATTTCACTGTCCATGTTTTAAAGGGAAGTAAGTTTAATCAAATTAAATCTATTGGGAGAGCAACAATGGTAAAGACTTCAAACAAAGTAAATATTCCAAAGGGTAAACTGGCTCCTAACAAAGATCCGTTTTAGCTTATATTCTATTTTCTCAATGGGGCTTTCCTTGATTAACCAATTCACCAACTCTCCTCACCAAAGTTATTCAGTAGTCTTATAGTCCTTCTCACTTTTGAGTTGAGATATTCATTAGTTTTTCAGTTTTATCTGTTTCTCCTAGACTATAGTTCCATGAGGGTCACCTTGTTAAATTCCCAGCACTGACCTACCACAGGGCCTGCCACACAAAAGGAACTTGTGTGTCATACTGAATAAATCAGTGCAAGAACAAATGCTACCCAACTTCAGTCATTCCTTCAGATATTCAACAATCACTTGTCTGGAGGCCAGCGTCTTTGATCATGTTTCTCCCTTGATGTAGAATGTTATGCCCTTTCAAAACTCACTATTTCAAGTAATGCCAACTCCTCCAGATTTTTCTTTGAATTCTCATAGTAACTGATCCATAACTATCGACTTTTACTGCTACCTACTTCCAGTTGCCTTTATTGTTTATCTCTATGCAATACAACCTAAGGTCAAAATTCATCTGAGTTCATTTTACATGCCCTTCTCCATTCCCCATCCCACAATACCCAGACAGGTGTCTTCTATGTTTTTTTGCCCAGCAAGGAAGGACCAGTCTTCTCCACTGAGTTAACTTTTCAACAGTCTAATTATGGCCCAATAATTGGAGACTTGTAACAAAAATCTCTTAATGAGTCTACTTATTGAATTATTGGTCAAGATTATACTAGTTATGAGAATCAACTTTCATCAATTCAAAATTAACTTCTCGAACAAGGGAGCCAATAACACCTTAATATCTTAATTTGGATTATAATATTAGAGTTTTAGGAGTTTTTAATCAAATGCTTAATATGAACTGAATTGACACATAGTTTACAATAGTTATATTCTATCTTCATTCCTTTGCCTGTTCTCACCTTCTACCACTTCTTTCAGAAAACTCCCCCAAAATATTATCCATTAAGTCCAATTTTCCTCATGTTACTTTCCATTCAAAAGTCTGCGATGGCTTATGGTCATATGTGTGATAAGGATGATGATAAAAGTTCTTACCCTCTGCTATCTTTTTTGTTTGTTGTTCTATTTAGTTACACATTACAGCAGAATGCATTTTTGACTCATTGTACACAAAACAGAGCACAACTTTTCATTTCTCTGGCTGTACATGATGCAAGGTTGCACCATTCACGCAATCATACACATACATAATGTCCATCTCATACCCTCTGATATCTTAAAGAATAATAAATTCAGCAGTTCTCAAACCATTCAAATAGCAGAGTGCCTGGAAGTCACCGTGCTTTTTGCGTAACACTGTAGCAAACCTTAATTTCAGTAGAAAACCTAGAGTAATTAATGTAAAGCACAGTTGTATTAAAAATAGGTAATGTAAATAAAAATATCAGAAGCATGTGTCAAAGAAAAAACAAGTATGTGAACCATACAGCTTACTACTCTGTTTTTGTCCTGTTTATTTTCTACTAATCAAACAATTGATAAGTCACATGAAAGCACTAAAAATGCTTAAAAACAAAGATTACTTTCCCACAAACTAGAAAAAGATTATCACTAAACATTATTAGTGGAAGCCCACCTTTATATAACAACCTGCAGATGTTCCCTGGGAACCCAGCTTAAGAGCACTGACCTAGGTAGGGAGACAAAGTTCTTATTTCCCCTAACTAGGAGGTTCTGATTTAAAAGACTGGTAATATACCTACTAATATACCCTACTAAAATAAAGTTAACCTTTAATGAGAAACCTGATAGTTTCACTATCTGAAAGTCTGAAAAGCCAGGTCTAAAATCAAGTTAATAGTTGGCCTAGTTTTCTAATTGCTACATACCATGCAAATTATTGCTTTACTCAAAGAAACATAATAATTCTGCTGCTGAAAGAGACTTTAGTTCACTCCTTTTTTCTGCCTGCTGTTTGGGAGCCTTCCATATAGTAAATAGATTAGTTTACTATGTAGCCAAGTTGTGGAACTCATTCCAGCCTCCTCATGGCACACCTCTTTATACTTCTATTTAAATACAATTCCCAGTAAACAACATGACAGAGGTGGAGAAGCACTAAAAATGGTTCAATGCATCCTAGAAGTTTCAATGTTCATATGAAAATCTCTGCAGAGAGGGGAAAATATAGGAACAACCTTGTAAGTAGTGTGTGTTAAGAAATATTTTACCTTTTTTTAAAGTGCCCCCGAATCAGACACAGAAAAGGCAGCATTTGATCCTACTTTAGTTCAGCAGAGTCATATTTGATCACTACCTGCCAGTTACTGGGAACAGTATCACAACCTATCAAACACAGATTAGAGAAGACATTTGTATCTCAGTGGACAGTGAGAAGCATCCACACACTGTTGGCAAATACCAACGTCACCCAAAGAAAAACAAAAATCCAAGGTAGGCTCTATGAGGAAAAATACTCTTATACATGAAGGAGAAATTATATCCTGAAGATGCAGAGGAAATGTCTCCGAATATAATTTAATAAGGAACCAAAATAATGTTTGAGAAAATTTGCACTGGCACAGATTCAGATAATGATACACAAGCAACCAAAACCAAGATAATATTATAAAGAGAAAAAGAATACAAGATACAAAAACAAAGGCTAAGATTAAAAGGAAATTCAGTATTATAATAGCAAAACTAAAATCCACACAGACTAGGGAGGAACATGTTCCCAGAACATCTTTGAGTCTTTCATTTACCCTATTGTGTTAGACTGATGAAAAATTTGTCCCTAATTCTCCATGCATCTCTCTGTCTATACCTTTCCAACATGGTTCCATAGAAGCTTAAATCAAGAATCGACATCCCTACCTCCTTGAATAAGCTGGTATAGTAACTTCTTTTGGCCAACAGAATGTAACACAAGTAACAGTCCATTCCAAGTAAAGCCTCAAGAGGCTTTTATTGCTTCTGCTCTTTCTCAGACCTCCCATGAGAAAAAGCCTGAGCTTCCTGAAGAAAAGATACCATGTAGAGAAGAACTGAGGTCCTCCTGGCCAATAACTAGACAACTCCCAGAAAGACCTGCTAACTAATCCAAAGTTGACCACAGGCTCAAGAGAAAGCAAACAATTGCCCAGCTATATTCAGCCTATATTTCCAACCTCCAGAATCATGAGCTCAATAAATGTTTTAAGTCACTAAGTTTTAGAGTGGTTTGTTATGTATCAAAAGCTATGACATATATCAAATGAGGTGACAATGTGGAAGGCAAAACCTTGATTCTTAAAATCATAATAAAACAGAAAATGTTCCCATATACATTCTTGTAACTTTCTGCAACAACAGTATAAATAAGAATAGTATGAAAGGCAGGTAATTGATGCCCTGTCCACCAGGAACTTTACTGGAATGAGAAAGGTTCATCAAGATAATCCCTTCTGAACTTCTTACAGTGAGAATTCTAGCCTCATTACCAAATCAGCATTAAAGTCCACAACCCAAGTATTTCCACAGGTACCTGACTCATCACTGTTGGACTCAAAGCCATCCATACAAAACACCTGCTGTGCTAAGTTTTGTGAATGTTCTCTACTACTCTCCTCACTAAGGGGATCTGCAATGCTACTCACCCTTACAGTCTTCCTGGAGAGACTCCAGCTGTCACCATGCCAGAAACTGCTCTCAAGGAAATGAAGTGGGGAAATCTGAAACTAACTCACCCAGCTTCACTGTAGCCTCCTTCTCCCGACCAGAGTCTAGAGCTGAAGTCCAGCTCCTTTCCTTTTAAAATTACCAATTAGTGGTAATCAGATGTTGCCCCCTGATGGATAAATGTACATCTCCTAAGATCTTTATGCACTTTATCCATGATAAACCTTCGATGCAGTTAATCTAATCTCTGATTAAGGATGACATTTTCAAATACGACTTTAAGTTTAATAAAGATTGACTAGAGTTTTCCTTAACCATGATTTTAACTTTTCTGTGACAAGAATATCCACTATTAGCAATAATAATTTTTTTCTTAGTTGTAGTTGGACACAATATCTTTATCTTATTTATTTAGTTTTACGTTGTGCTGAGGATCTAACCCAGCGCCTTGCACGTGCTAGGTGAGCACTCTACTGCCGAGCCACAACCCCAGCCCCAGCAATAACTATTTTTTAAATGTTATAAAGGAAATTCTTTTTATTTTGATACACCAATCAGTGAAAAAATATAGTCATGTGTCATCATGCACAAAACAAAAATACATTAAAATATATAAGTCAAAAAAGAGAGCAGATGTGAGATGAGAAATTAAGGATGAATTTGGGGCATGGGCATTAAGAGATGCCAGTTGACTAAATGAACTGAGGTGGGTACAGAAATGGGCCACAAAAAGTGTTGGGGCAGGTGCTGGGGCTCAGAACAAAATATCCCAAAATATGGTGCTTTGACATGCTGGAAGGTATTGGCACCCTGAAGGATTCAAAAGCAAGGTCTCTCTCATCTCCTGTCCAGGATTCCTCTTTCCCCAGGCAGAACCTACAAACCAGAACCACTCTCCCCAAAGTCAGCCCTAACACCTAGAAAGGTCACTCCCTCCCTTCTGCCTCATCCTTGAAGACCTTCATTCCAGAGGGGTCATCCTTCACATTAACTATTAACATTTATTGGCCATTTTACTCTAGAATTTCTGGCCAATCCTATATAACCCTCAGGAAAGAAAGGTAAATTTTCATTATTTGCAGATATTATAATTAGATATCAACACACAACTCTCATAATTACTAAGGATAAATTAGAGAACTCAGATTTGAGATAAATGTTTGAACACTT